GCTCACCAGGTCATGGACGGCACCTTTTACTGCCGGAAACCGACCTGCTGGTTCCTCCTCCCTCACCACCCTCGACGGTGGTGCAGCTGGGGGGGTATAAAAGGGTCCCCCCGGTGGAGCGGTCGGTTGCGATGCAATTGTGTCTTAATGCCGCCTCCACCTGGCAGGGCGAACCGTGCCTCCCCTCCCGGGTCTGTAGGTACTCGTCTGGCCTGTCCGGCGATGCTTATACGGCCTGTGGAGAAGCTGCCTCCGCCTTACACGCTACGGCGTTACTGCAGGTTCATCAGGCCAAGGCACTGAGGGACCTGCACGAGGGTGGTCATGATCCGGAAGTTCTGAAAGAGCTCCGAACCGCTACTGACCTCGCGCTCCGAGCGACGAAGGTCACCACGAGTTCTCTGGGTTGTGCGATGTCCACACTTGTGGTCCAGGAGCTTCATCTCTGGCTGTGTCTGGTTGATATGAGGGACGGCAACAAAGTTCCGGTTCCTTAATGCCCCTGTGTCCCAGATCGGCCTCTTCGGCGATGAGGTCGAGAGCTTGGCCCAGCAGCTCTCGACTGCACAGAAGCAGACTGAGGCGGGTCGTCACACCCTGCCCCGGCGGGCAGCTGCTGCCTCCACCCGTCTGCCGGCAGCAGCGCCCAGCCTGCTCGGCGCCGAGGGCGGCACCCTGCGTCCACCCCTGCTCCCACGGCACATCCGCAGCAGCCTCCAGCAAGCGATGCTGTGTAGCTGGGCGTAGGCAGGCCGCCCCACCCGTCCAGGCCCCCGTCAAACCTGGGGGTGAGCGAAAGAGCAAGAGGCCCCGGGATGGGTGATCCAGAGAGGGAGGAAGCTGCTCTTTGGGGGATGGTGAAGGCACCTCTCCCTCCCCCGGAGGAGGGCCGGGTGGAGAATCTGGAAAATCTCGATGAGAATCTGTCCCTGGGTCCCAGGAGGGCAAGGAGAGTCGCGGACGGACCAGCACTGGACCACACTCATTCTCCTCCATCGCCAGCAGGCAGCAGCGGGCGGTTCGAGAGCGTCAACAAAGGCCCTACTCACACACCCTCTGCCAAACTGTGGAACCAGGTAAGCATTGCACCGCACACTCAGACCCCTCTTCGGTCCGCTCACAAGCCGCCTGAGTTGGGTCCCTGCGTTCCACCTCGCTGTCCCACTGCGCTGAATCCGTGAGAACCGGTAGAGGGCTGGGTTCCATATGTAGAGGCTTAAGTGGTTCCCATATGTGTAAAGTCCACGGTATAGCCTCAGAGCCCGTGTTTCCCCGGCAGACTTCTGCCATTTTCCTATGAGGGTTACAATCACCTCTAATATTCCATATGCAACTAAACGGATGTCATATGTGTAAGTGCTTCCGAAACCTCCTTCGGGAAGGATGGGGCTTCCGCAACGTTCCTGTTCCAAGTAGAACGGGTACGTTTTCCCAGTGTTATCCAATCTCACTGAGTGGGAAATGCTATGACAACAGTGACTGGTCTTCTTGTTGCGAGCCCCGGCCTACACCACAA